CTCTTCTTCTATACTACTATAATTCTTCATATAGTTTTTTTATCAGTACCTTAGTTTTTTTTTTTGTTATAAGTTCTATCTATTCGTGTTAATAAATTAAATAAAGCTGCTATATGTAAAGCCTGTATAAATATGTTAGAAAGAGATAAGACACTTGAGCAATTTATATTTACTAATACAAAAATTTGTGTCAAAGCATACTTAAAAAAATGTTATCACTTTATTGGGCAATATACAGAAGAAGAAAGAAATGAAATTCTTTATAGATCTGATGATAATCAAGAAATAAATTCAACAAGTTTAACTGAAAGCAATAGTTCTTTATTAATCTCTTCTAAACAAACTGCTGAAATTATTGAACCAATTAACACAAATATAAAATATAATGATAAATCTTATGCTATACGATGTAGAAAATCTCAAATATCAAGAAGTTTAATTAACAATTGTCTTATTCAGGATTTAACTTCAACAGAATATTTTGTCTTTGAATAGCATATTTTAAAATTAACAATCAGTAATAGATGGATATTTAATTGGGTCAAAAATCCTGAAATTGTTGCACTTTTTAAGTTTTTAAACCCAACTCTATTCTTACCTGATCATCATACACTTTTAGGCTGTATTCTTTCTTCATATAGTAAAGAATTGCAATAGCAATATGCTATTGAAGTTAAAAAACAAGAGATTGGTAATATATTAGTATTTGATAGTTGGAAAAACATTAATCATCAGGAAATTTTAGGAAGTACTTTAATTACAAGTACAAGAAAAGTTCTTGTATAGGGCACAGATGATATTTCAGTTGAAGGCAGCAAAATAGTAGATGTAATTGACAAAATCAAAAAATTTTTTATACATGCAAAAAATGATAATATTAAAATTATTGCTGTAGTTACTGATAGTGCTGCAGCATATGTTGCAGCAAAGTTAGTAAAAGTATATATTATATACTGTATATAATTAAAACTTATATATATATTTTATTGATATATTTAATTTTTTTTTTTAGACGACAAATGCGATTAGAATATACTGATCAAGTTTTTCTTCTCTGTTTTGCTTATCAAGCAAATCTTTGCATTGCTGACATATTTAAATCATCATCACAATATAAGACTACATTATTAAAGGCTATTTCTCTTGTTTCATATTTTACTAATAGTAGATATTTTTTTTGGATTAGTAAATTGCGTAAAGAACAGAAAGAATTGTATAAAAAAAATTATTGCTTTGTAAAACTAGTTTGTACACAGTGGAACAGTTATTATTTTTGTTTTGCAACTTTAATTCGTAACAAAAGGGCTTTAAAGATATTATATTTATTTATTTATTTATTTTTAATTTTAATTTTTATACTAAAAAAAAAAGTAATTTAAATAGGCACTTGGTTTACGAAATCAAAATTTGTCAAAAAATATTACAATACTTTTAGATGATAATAGTTGGTAGCAAACAATTAAGAAGCTTGAATCACATTTGCTTCCTTTTACAGCAATACTTAACAATCTTCAACATGATATAGCATGATTATCAGATGTTCTTCATGCATTTGTATACTTTATGCAGTTGTATAAAAATCGATTTGATAACTTTAGTCAAAACATGGTTCAATGTTTAGAAACACGATGGAGTCAATGGGAACAGCCTTTGTTAATTCTTTTTTTTTTCTTCACCCAACTTATCGCAACAGGGTTTTTAATAATCATTTTTCATTAAATCTACCACAAATTGGTTTGTGGATACAATACTATTTTAAGGCGTGGTTTAAAACTCGACCAACTGTTATATTATCAGAATTTTCAAAGTTTATAATGAAAGAGTATCTATTTGATAAGGACAGGTATATGGCAAGGCACCCCATTAACCAGGCCACCGGGATCGAGTTCGTCAGAACCAGAGAAAAAGAATCTGCTTAGTTGCAGATACCAGGGAGAAAAAATCTCTTCCGGACCATCTGGATTGGTAGTTTGGGATAGTTAGAGATATAGTTGACAGTCTGTAAAGTGGGTACTGAGGTTTGGGTGAACTCTACAAGGGGGTAGTAGGTAACTGTAGTGGCTTTGGCTCGCAAGTACTTGTCTTCGGACTCGGCGTAAGTTACTGAATCTAGGTAAATCCGGATT